ATAGTAACTAAAGTAGAAGAGCTCATATCTACTTTAAATCAAAAGAAAATCTTACTTAAGTGCAAAGAGCAGCCTATTTTACTATAATATCAGATTAAAATAGCAGTTAGATACAAATGCTACTAAAAGTAGTATTACACCAAATAGTCAGCTCTATTTTAAAATTGACTTTGGCCAAAATACAAGAAAAAAGAGAGTTGCAAATGAGACTAAAATTTATAAAAATACAAATTTAGACAAAAAGCCAAAGTATGCAAAAACTTTAAAAAAATCAAACAGATACTATAATGATAACAAGGAAAACAACTATACTATCTGCAGTAAATCAATTTGGCTACACAATCTCATAAAGCCAAGAGTCTATATAACAAAGCAGAAAATAGCAAACCTCTTGTCATAACCGATACAGAAAATATCAAAATTAGAAAGATAGACTTTCGAGACTATAGCACAAGTAGTACAAGTACTGTCTCTCTATCAACAAACTGCAAAACTTCTAAATCTAGAAAAGACATTAAAGAAAAAATCAAGATATAGCCAAAAAATCTGGCACAATACTAGGCCTTGGCAGAGATTTTAAAAAAGCTATCTAAAATTGAAAAGGACTATGAGTCAATTCTGATGTCTAGACCTAATTTATTCTAAAAGTAGCTACAAGCATCTTTACACATGTAGGTAGTATTACCAAAAGCCTGCCAGGAGCTACATATGATCCAGAACTTAAACAGAGACACAATGATATAAACAAAAATAGAAAAAACAAAAGAAATAGAACCCAATCAGATAGTATAGATAGCAAAAATGCAGAGGACTATTCTAGAAACTTAGATGTAAAATAAGAACAATCTGCAAGAAGTATAAAAAAAAGTATTAGTTCAGAAATCAAAGTAGCAATACATAATATCAATAGTATTAAGAACAATAAACAAAAAATAGCTTTATTAGTTAGCTAGTTAGAGAAAGAAGATATAGCAATTTGTGGTTTGACAAAGACAAATATTTCAGCAAAGAAGGGCAAATTTATATTAGATAGCAGTAGTAATTACAATACTATATAGTCAAATGCTAGTGTATCTAAAAAGAAAGGTTCAGATATAGACCTCTTAATTAGAAGAGATTAGGAAAAATTTATAGGCAATATTTAATATATAAATAAATATTTATTAAAAGTTAGCTTTTTCTTTAAACAACTTATTTTAGTTTTTTTAGTAATATAAACAACCAAGAAGAAGCTAGAGCAATACAACAGAAAGTAATTAAACATTATATAAGCAAACTACCAACAGCCCAATATATAGTAATAGGTGACTTTAACAATATTATAGACCAGGCTCTTGACAAAAGTAATCTTAACCCAACATGTAACCAAAAAGTTCTCCCACTTCATTGATGGTTTTTAAACCAAAACTTCATCAATTCTTTCAGATTTTTAAACCCAGACAAAAAAGAGTTCATATAGTTAAACAACAACTCAATAATATGAATATATCAGATCTGGATCTCAGAAGATTTAATAGCAGAATTGCTTTAAGCAAATATACATGATATAAAGTGATATACAAAAAGTGACCATAGTTTAGTTTTGATAAAGCTACAATTCCAATATCTTAGAAATCAGTACAGTGCTATACAAGCCAAATCTAGAGGCTATAAAAGAACAATATTTCAATATGATAAAGCAACTAAAGAAAGCTAGAAAGACTACAAAGAAAGTTTAAATAAACTTTTTAAAGACAAAAATATAACTAAGTCACTATTCAACATATCAGAAAACCAATTAATAAACCTTGATAAAATATAGAATAAAATAGCAAGTAGTATAATCGAAATAGCCAATCTTAATATTTCAAGAAAAAAATTTCTAACATGGTTTCAAACATGAAAAGAAAAAAAAAAGATCTTACTTACACATAGCTACTACAAGCCTAAGTAAACTAATTGCAAAAAAAAAAAAGAATTTGGATACATATATTAATCCTTAATCAAAAAATCAAATAAACAGAACTATAGGGCTTCTTAACAAGAATCTTCAAACCAATATACCAAAAGTAAACCAAGAGTAGATACAAGATTAGGTAGAGGATTTTAAAGGCTAGTGGCACATACTTTACAATAGACTCTTTGATGAACTCGAAAGTCAAAAACAAAAGAAAATTAAAGATTTTACTGGAAAGAGATATTTAATGATACAAAACAATCAGAGAAAAATGCTAAGAAGCCTTCTCAACAAACCCTTTAAAAAAATTACACTAGATCATGTGATGATTTAGCAAAATAATTCATGTATACTAGTTACAAAACCAGACATAGTTTTGAAAAAAACTCAAGAATACTTCCAACAACAGTTTTGCAAAAGAAGAGATGAAAAAGATCTTCTTAACAATGAATAGACAAAAATCTACAAACTAAAAGAAAAAATTCATTGCTCCTTATACTCAGGTTTGCTTAAAGATATCAAGACAGAAGAGTAGAACACAATGCTTAGTGAACTTAGTATTAATACTGCACCAGGCATATCAGGTATCAGCTATCTATCAATCAAAGCAGCAGACCAAGGAGTACAAGTGATTTTTAGAAAGTTCACAATGTATTGCATACAAAAAGGAAAAATTCTATTTAAATAAAAGATTGCTCAGATTTATCCAATTCCAAAAGATAGTAACTGGAACTTTCAATTAAGCAACATCTGCCTAATAGCACTGCTTAAAACATTACACAAATATACAACAAAGATCTTTACAAAGCGTTTAGCCAAAATCATCTTGGAAAACAATATTTTAAAGGGCCCTAATTTTGCAGGACTCCTAGATGAATCTACAGAAACTTCAATTCAAATACTTAATATGCTGATAGAGGATACAAAAGAGAAGGGTAAATAGTTATAGTTATTAATACAAGATATAAAAAAGGCATTTGACTCAGTATCACTAGAGATGCTTGAATATGCATGTAAAAGAATTAAAATTCCTTCAAAAGAAGCCAAATTTATATTAAACTTTTTTTGCAAAAGACATGCCAGAGTTATTACAAGCCTGGGTTTAACAGAAGAAATTCAAATCGAAGATGGTATCGACCAAGAGGAGGTAATCTTATCTTTGGTTTGGCAGATCTTTTACAATCCTCTACTAGAAAAAGTTAGCAAGCTGGAGAACTAGGGCTACAAAATTACTACAAAGATACCTACAAATCTAAGCTCTAATATGTGGTAGGAAGAAACTCTTATACAATTAGTAGTTGCTTTTGCAGATGACACAACCTGGATTGCACCATCAAAAGAAATGCTA